ATATATATATATATATATACATATATATATATAAAAATATATATATATATATATTTATATATATATATCAGGCCTTGTTTTAAAGCGTTACACTGAGAGCGATTTACGCACGCCTTAAGCAATTTTGACCTACGCGTAGAGCTGTTTTGGTTAAGCTACTTTTTATCATTTTTTATCTTTTAAATTAGCGGTATCATAAAAAAAGTAATTAATTTTTTAAAAAACCACATTAACTTTTGAATAACGATATGTAAAAATATTTACTACAAAAAAGAAGTTACGTTAAAAATAATTATAGTAACTTTTCATCGCGATATATCTTACCTTTTTATATTGTTTAAAGTTCGAATATGGATTATATTTTGAAGGACAAAAGATTTACTTTGAAAACTTTTAAATCTTTGGACTTTGCCGAAGCTTTTCTAATTGAAACTTTCACAGAAAAAGAGAAGACTTACGTTATTAAAATCAAATGTAAGTTATGTGATCTTCATCAAAATAAAATATTATCAAAACCAATGATGCCGTAAGGGCAGCTGTCCTACGGTTTATAAATGACACAAGTCATGTTAAAATATTTTAACATGTTACTATATTTTATTTAACTTGGTATATAAATAAAGATAAAAATATAGTTCAATAAATAAATTAAATTTTCTTATCAAAGATTACCTCATATTTATTCTTTTTTTATTTTATTATTTCAGGTTAAATTGCTTACAAACAAACAAAAAAAAAGAGTTTTGTAATTATATGTAGAATGAAAATACTTTTGAGTTTATTTATAAGTTAAGCAACTTAATTTTTAATGAAAAAATTTTAACAAACGTTCATTATAAACAGATACGATTCAAATTATTAAATATACTAATATTATTTTAGTTTAGTATTTTTTTAAGTTTGCACGATTAAAGTTTTGCGTAGAAGTATTTTTTTTTTTTTTAAGAATAATTAACAAAAGAGTTTGAATAATTAAGACTTTTATATTTAATTTAATTTTTTTTTTAATTCCTAAAAATAAAAATAAAAAAGATTTAATCGTTATAAACGATTTTTCTCTATAGCTCTGTTTCTTTATGAATTGTTTAAAAGTAAAACATTTTTACGATAACGTAAAAAGTTTATAAATTAAATTCCTGGCAAACGCGTTCTTAAACTACATATCAAAAATATGCTCAAAAAAGACATGAAACTTTTTTATATTTTTATAAAACGCAAGTTAAAACGCTAAGCAACATAAATTTAAAAAATATTTAAAAACTTAAATTATTCTTTGCTAGTCAAAACAAAATCGCTGTTTATATAAGTAACAAGGATTTTTGTTTATCAATGTTAATATTTTTTGCTTACTCCAAAAAATTTTAAAAATAAAAAAAATCATTATTATTTTTTATTCAATAATGATTTATAAACAATAATTATTCAAAAAAAAATTTCAAAAATAATTAAATATATATATATATATATATATATATATATATATATATATATATATATATATATATATATATATATATTATTTTACTAAATAATATTGAACTAAAATTAATATTAAAATAATAATTGAAAACATAACAAACTTTTCATAATAAATTTATATTAAAACATTTAAAGTTATTTGAGCTAATTGTTAAATTGAATTAGTTAGCGGTTATTTATTTATTGCAGTAGTTAAAACACTTAACGTCTATAAAAAAAAATAAAGATAATTTTATGACGTCAAGTATCGCATTAAGCTAATGCATTAAGCACTTTATTATAAAAAATAAGGCCTGTATTTATATTAAATATTACAATTAATTTAAAAAATCCAACTTCTATCCTAATTTTATATAATCTATAAAGTGTTCGATCAAAGTTAATTAAAGTTAACTAAAGCTTTGGAAACAACCTCTAGAGATATCAGAGTTCAGGGATTGAAAATTACTATGAAAAATGCAATAGAAAAACGTTTTTCAGCTATTTAAAACACAGAATATTATTCAGTTACTACTCTACTTGATCAAAATGGTATTTTTTCAGATCTCAAGGTGCTTTGCAAAAAGCTAAACACGCTGTCATGTCCCAAATAGACAATTTTGAACCTTTAGATGAATTGGCTCCTGCAACTCAAATTCTATTTAGCGACAATGAAAAAAACGCATCATTTGTTCAAATGTTAAAAATTATTGCGCAATCTTAAACTCAAATGCCAAAAGGACCAAATGCACTTTCATCTTCCAAAATGATAAAAGAAGCGTTGAATGATTTTTTCGATAGTCCAATAATTTCGCAATGCCTTGAGTTTTGGAAAAACTATGAAAAAAAATGCAAATTCCAAAATCAAGTTAAATGAGGGGGGTGGGGATCTTTAAAAAGTACCAACTGACTTCGTTAAAAAAAAAAAGTCCTCATAACTAAATTTTAGCCTACTGAATTGTGTCAAGTACCCGACTAGCCCACTAAATTAGTAAAAAAACTAACGATAATTGGCAAAAAAGTACCTCACACCACCTCCAACATCAACAGATATTAAAAGACTGTTTTCTACAGCTGGCGATATTTTTTCAAACGAAAGAAACAGAATCTATCTAGCAAATTTGGAAAAACTTTTATTTTGTCAAGAAAATCTTCCAGTTGTTGGATTCTGTTATTAGCTAATTTTATTAAATTAATATTTTGCTTAAATTAAAACTAACTTTAAAAAACAATATATATTATTGATTTTCAACAATGAATAATAAAAATCGATTTTCTGTTCGGTTCCGGCAGAATATTATTTCCAGTCGATCACTACCTGTTATGGTTTTGCAGCTTCTCTGGACCTGTTGTCTTTATTTGAAAACTGTTTAACTATTTTTACGTATTTAAAGCAATACCCTATTTTCAAAAAATCTGGAGAGCAATCTAATTCTTCGGTTTTTACGGTTAAGTCTTTTTCCTATCATAAGCAAAGTTTTTGAGTCTTTAATTAACAAACACTCAATCTCTTAACTTAAATCTAATAACTTATTACTGATCATCAATAAGGATTTTGGTATTCTCGTTTTACTGCTGATTTATTAACGGTAATAACTGATAGGTTTATCGTGCATTATATGGATGTGGAGAGGTTAAAGTTATCGCTCTCGACATTTCCAAAGCCTTTGATAATGTTTAGAACACTGGTCTTTTCTGGTTCTTCTTATGGTGTATCAGATAACATCTTTCAGATTATTGAATCCTTCCTTACCAATCGTAGTATAAAAGTTGTCCTTGATGGACAGCACTCTTCTTCATATCCTCTAACTTCAGGAGTTTCCCAAGATTCTATCCTTGATCCTATACTCTTTTTAATTTACATTAATGATCATCCATAAATTCTCACATTTAAGATGGCTTTGTTTACTGACTATACTATCACCCATTCTTATCTTGATAAGAAGCCAATACTCTCTGATTTCTTGGAGAGGCATTTGAGCTTGAAAAGGATCTCACTTCTGCTACAGCATAGGGCTCTCAGTGATTGGTAGTAAGTGACAGGTGCCCTGTCCCGTCTGAAAATGAGATTTTTTTTTTAACCCTGCCCTGGCAAAACTAAAAGATTTAGCTGGGATTGATAGCTGGAGTTAGAAAAAAATTTATAATACTTTATATTATAAATTTTTTTATAATATAAAGTATTATAAAATGTAAGCATAATATTATAATATTATGCTTACATTTACAATTTATTAAATAATGGCATACAATTATATAACTAAAAACTCTAATTTACTTTCAACAAGATTGCAAGCAACCACTGTTAAGTTATAGGTTACTTTAAAATAGAGAATAAGTAAATGTACTTGGAAATGGCTAATTGAAGACTTAAAAAGTTGTAGATTGTATATAAAAGAAAAACATGAAAATAGCTAAGAGTTATAAAGATAACAGATAAAGCAGGTCTAACTACATTTACAATGTGCTTTTAGACTTTGTATGAGAGTAAGAGGGTTGTTATTCATCAATATAGGAATGCCAATATTATTATATTATTTTTTTGCAGTAAATAAATAAGTTTTGTAGTCTAACAAAAATTGTGGATTTTAAGTCCAGAATATAAATCCATAAGCCACTGAAAGCCTTAAGCTGTTACAGAAGAGAGATCAAAAATCAACTGCTTGTTCTATACAATCAAAAAGTGAAAATTTTTTGTCAAGACAAGAGTATAAAATTGAGTCGTCAGCAATTAGAGCCACTTTAGATGTAAAATTTTTATCAAGATCAATATTGTAGATAAAAACAATACAGAAGGTAAGATAAATCCTTGTAGTACCTTTAAAGTTACTTGAAATAAAGAAGAGGGTAGGACTTCAAGAATAACTTAATTATTTTTCAATTTTGTTTAAATAAGATGGTTAATTTGTTCAAACAAAAAAAAGATATCAGTACGTCTAAGATATTTTGGTCGAATTAAAAACTGCAAACCATTTGTTTAAGGATGTCCAATTCATCACCAGGGAGCTAGTAAGAGGAACAATTAATTACAATATCTGAAACATTAAAAAGTTTTGTATGACCAGTTGTTAACCGTTTTAACTTATTTTAACAATTTTATCTTTTTCTTTTTGTATGTTATATTTTAACACTTTAGTTAAAACAAACCAACCCAACGATGAGAGATTCACTTTTAAGTAATCTTGGAAAATATTAATTTCTTTACATAAATGCAATTTTTCTTTGTTGCGCTTTTGTAATGCACATTTTAGTAATCTTTTTCTTATCAAACGAGCATCAAATTTTGAAAAGTAAATTAAATGAGATAAATTTTGATAAAACTTCAAAAATTCTAAAATTATTTAAAAACACTATGTTTAATTTTTGCACAGTAGTAGAAATTAACCAATTTTGAAGCAAATATACAAAAACTTTTTTAAAGAGGATTTAATAAAGAAAAACCTTCAATAATAGATAGTGCAATATACAATAATAGATAGTACAATAAACAAAAATACAAATTTAAAAAAAGTAAAGAAAAAAAGAACAAAAAAAAGTTGTACCACTTTGTTCTCCAAGGAAGACCAATTTGAATTTTCTTAAAACATTTGAATAATCTGTACCCATTATATTAAACAAACTTCCTTTAATTATAAATACATATGGATTAAAAACAAACATATAAGCAAACAGTAATTAGAATTAATTTATTGATTTATTATTAATTTATATGTTCTTCTTTTAATAAAATTCTAGAAACTATATATAAGTAATTCTATATAAAAAATCAATGTTTAAAATCTGATACTTTTAGAGATTTATTTTACATTTGTGTTAAGTTAAATTTCCTTTTCATTTCAAATTAATTTGATTATAATTGTGATTAACATAAAATTTCTTTAGTTAATGGGCCTAAAATAATTTAAATTTTTATTTTTGAAAAAGCAGAGAAGGATATAAAAATGCATATCAATAAAATAATAATAATAAATGATAATAATTATTTATAATGATTATTTGTATATTTTCATTAATATAGTTATTATAAATCACAAAATAATATTTGCAGTGATTAATAATAACTATAAATAATATACTTCTAAAAATTATAATAACAATTATAATATTTATAATAAATACTTTATAATATTTTTAAAGTCTCTACCAACAAGAGTGTAAAACTATTTTAGGCAACTAAACTGAAATATTATATATATATATATATATATATATATATATATATATATATATATATATATATATATACACATATACATATATACATATATATATATATATATATATATATATATATATATATATATATATATATATATATATATATATATATATATATATATATATATATATATATATATATATATATATATATATATATATATATATATATATATATATATATATATACACACATATACATATATACATATATTATATAACTTTTTTCAAATAAATGTTTTCAAAATGAAATATATGTACACACACACACAGATATATATATAAAATATTTATGTTAAAATAAACTAATTTTATGCAAACAACAACAGTTTAAACAAATATATGAAAAACAAAAAATCAATGTCCATCATAATATTTGTTTTTCAAAACACATCTTAAAAAAAGGCAGAAAAATTAAAAAAAAAAATAGAAGCTATTTAGAAATGATTAACTTTTTTTTTAAAAGGTTCACTATATTTTTTAACTGTATCTAAAAAAATTATTTTTAAATGCAGAATATTGATAAAATTAATCTATTAATAATTAATGATTGTTAATTATTAAAAGCGGTTAAGGTTTTGAGGTAAAACTTGCAATTCTATTAAACGCCAAATAAAAGGTATTAAGCATAAACTAATCTTATTATTTCAATTTAATAATAACTAATAGGTTTCAAAGATCAAATCTAACATTTTAAAGTATGGCTGTATTTCGACAATAAAAACTTGCGACCAACTAATGAAAAGCTTATATACTTTCGTTTTTTTTTTTTTTGCGTTTTTCATAAATATCGGCCGTACTCGCATTTAATTATCTTGAACGGCCAACTTTTCGTAAGCCGTTATTAATTTATTTACTGTCGCTACAACGGCGATTCTAAGAATAAAATGAGGGAGGTCGAATCCTTAGAAACTGCCGACTCTTTTGTTCAAAAAATAAAGAAAAGTAATTTAGCGCAAAAATTTACTAACAAAGTCACAGTTATGAATTTTTTGTAAATGAAATCAAGGCTACTAAATACGAATTCAAAGTAAAGTGTGAAATTGACGGATAAGCTCTTAACCAATAATTAAAACAATAATTTTTCAATAACAATAATTTTTTTTTTCAAAATTGATCTTTATTTCTTGGGGTACCATCTTAACGTACAAACGTAATAGATAACTGGTAAATACTGATTTGTAAGAAACTTTAAAAAAAGTTAATTTTATGTTACATCAGCTAAGATTATTACTATTTTTATTCATTCTTTAAACTGAATTTAATATCTTGATGAAAGCTCTCATTACTCATTCAACCTCTTTCAGACACTGTTTCCAATTTTAGTCTGATTAAATCCAGATGAAAATGTGCAGTTTAAATGACATTTGATATCTAAATGCGATATGTTGGCACCAAGTTTTAGTCCGATTATAGTAAACTTATAATTTATGAAAATTAATCTCAAGAAACAGTTGTTTTGTATAAAACTAACCTAAGGCTAAACTTTTTATTAACACATAATTAAAGAGAAAAGTCCTTTTTTTATCGTTTTTTCCAAATAACCCAGGTATAACCATATTCCAACTGTTGTATACTTTGTACACTTATTTCAATTAAAAATGAAAAAAGGTTTCTTGGTAGCTTATGTAATTCGTCTTTTGGCACACGCTTGTAGATTAGAGTAACACTTGTGAACTTATAGGTGAAAAAAGGATCGAAACTAACCATAATATTATAATGTTGTTTTAACAACATTATAATGTTGTTACCGGAATAAACAGTGACGGTAATTTGAATGTTATCGAAGAAGATAATCAAAGTTTTTTCATTGCAAACATAATCATGAAAAAATAGTGATCTGGTCAATGGGTATTTGGTCAAGTAAATATTTCATGTGAAATATTTGAAATTGTGAAAAGTTCTTGATTGCATAGCGAAAACACTGCAAAAACATCTGAAATTGATTTTATATTATACTTTACCTGAAACTCATTTTTTTTTTGATGGTTGGGTTTCATATGGAGTAACAAAGGTTGGATTTCATATGGGGACACAGTTATTAAGTTCATATAAGTTTTAAATCAAAAAAGAAATTTTCAAAGTTTGAGATTCATTTGTGTTTAAGTAACTCTGAAGTTATTTGATTCTATTTTTTCAGTTTTTTATCTTTATTAAAAAGATAAAAAACTGAAAAAAGAGCTGCAAATTTAGGGGCCCATTTGCAAATTTAGGGGCCCATTTGCAAGTTTAGGGATCCTTTTATAAATTTGAGGACCTTTTTTTTTATTTGGTAATACCTAGTGAAAAATTTTTCAAGTTTTAGAGCCCTGAAATTTTTTTGGGGGGAAGGAGCCTGCGAGCCACTTACCATGGCACTGCTGATAGCAAAGGCAAGAACAGACAAGAATAGATAAATTTTGTAAATTTATAGAATAAGAAACTTTGTTCAATTTATAAAATAATAACGAAATTTAATTTTAATTACTTCTTTAAACTTTAATCTACTTTGTTAAGTATTTTACTTTATTAAAGTTTTATAAGTCTCGGATGAGAGCGCAGGTAGCTAAAAGATAAGTTTATTTTACTACGCTGTTCCATTACCCAAAACTTATATTGAATTTAATCCATGCTAAAGCGTCTATATAATGCTAAAACATAATGATCATACTGATTTAAAAAAATATTGTTTAATGAGCTTTCTATTTAAGAATTTAATAGGTGCATACAAGTTCTTGAGAACTTATATGTACAGCTATTTTACAATGGTCGTTCATTACATTACCCAAGTGGTTTCAATATGTGGTTTCAAGTGGTTTCAAAATGTTGTTTCAAGTGGTTTCAATATGGTCACAATAACTCGTAAAAGTTTAAAAACTTTTCTGCGTACAAAATCAAGCTAAAGACAAAGAGCTAAAGAGGTTAAGATTAGTATCGATATCGATTTAATAAATGAAACGAGATGCTCTGTGATAAGACCATAGGTACTTCTCGGGACAACTAAAAAAAATTTAAAATAACTTATAGTTTTTGTTATAAATTGTTATTTTTGCGGTTGCCAAGTTAAGAATAAATGTTGGCAGTTCTAAAACATGCCATAAAAAACCAGGTAGCAGCACGTTTAATTAGACATCTGCTGGAAGATAAATAAAAACCTTAAATGGATTAGAGGCTCTTGGTTGCAAATTTTCAAAGAAACTGTAGCTGTAACTGGACCACTAGGATTCAAAAATTAAAGCGCTTTCACGATGAAGCATAAAACACGGTTTATTTCCACAGCAGCCAAACAAAAGAATTCGAAGTAAACGTTTTTATTCGAAGTAAACGTTAAGAATTCGAAGTAAACGTTAAGAATTCAAAGTAAACGTTAAGAATTCGAAGTAAACGTTAAGAATTCGAAGTAAACGTTAAGAATTCGAAGTTTTTAGTTTTGCTTTAGATAGTCTGATCCAGCAGATTTAACATTTGAGGCAAACAGGATGGTTGGCAATATATTTTTATTCACCTGGTTAGATAATGGTGATCTTTTAAAATAAAACTTGTGAACTTGCACAGTTTTATCCAACAAATATGAACAAAGAGGATATCATTGAAGAAGTTTGCCTTTTTAACAAAACGAAAAAAAATTTTCAAAGCATGGAAATTCATTGCAGCTACTCAATCAAATCTTCGAGAAGAAAACGCCTTTTTTTGTACACTTCCATCATGCTCCCGATCTTCAACACTATTCCTGTGTATTTGCTGAGGGTGAACAACCGTTTAGTAAACTGAAGGTTGTAGAAAACTTGCTCCATTCAACCATTACCCAGGATCACGTTACTGATCTTTTAACTATTTTGATTAAAGAAGATTTGGTTTAAAAGGTAAGATAAGACGTCGTCAATAAAATTTGGACGGCCAGAAAAGCTCAAAAATTCATTTTTAAGCACCTTTTTTTACCTTTTTCGAAGATTTTGTTTATTAACTTTTCTTTTATAGGTTTTAAAACTAATACTTTGAATGTTTTAGTGTTGATTAATGAACAGATTCTCAATCCATAGAATTAATAATAACGCAGAAATACAAATGCTGTATCATTAATGAATAATTACTGCGTACAACTTAAATTTTGTAATTTTTTAGTTTGAAATGGGCGTTGTTCTTTATTTTTGACCAGAACGCCATTGGCCCTCTCAAAAACCCAGATGAAGTAGATCAAATCATGGCTATGTTCAAAAATGGGTCTAGTTGTACAAACAAACTATATGTTTGCAGTTATCCATAAACATTTAATGAATGATGTAGACATACAGATCAGTGATAAAAGAATTTGTATAAAGTTCTTCGCAAAGATAAAACTACTTTAAAATATTTTTATTGTCTATTGTTAGAAAAACTTAAACTAAATTAATATACTATTTTGTTTAAACGCATTAAATTTGTTCTGGTTATTTATATTTTAGGTTCATAAACGGGAGCAACATATTAACAAACGATATTATACAAAAAAAAAAAAAAAAAAAAAAAAATTTAAATGTTGTATAATGTAATTTTAGTGATAAATAACGCCCAACATGTAATCGTTTTTGCCATGGTTCAATTTATTTTGGAATAGTTTTATAGTTATTTTCTATTTGTGCGTTTTTATAAGAAATTGGGCCCGCCACCCTTCACAACATCCAGAATCCTTGTTTTTATGGTCTATTTTTAATTATTTTTCCACCTATTTTTTTAAAGTCAGTGGGTATATACGCAACTTAAAATATTTTAAATTAATTTTGAAAACTATTATATAAAGATTAAGCAGATACTTATATTAATAAGATTGTGATAACTTTTTATCAATGTGATAACTTTTTATCAATGTGATAACTTTTTATCAATGTGATAACTTTTTATCAATGTGATAACTTTTTATCAATGTGATAACTTTTTATCAATGTGATAACTTTTTATCAATGTGATAACTTTTTATCAATGTGATAACTTTTTATCAACGCGATAACTTTTTATCAATGTGATAACTTATTACCAATGCGATAACTTTTTATCAATGTGATAACTTATTACCGATGCGATAACTTTTTATCAATGCGATAACTTTTTATCAATGTAATAACTTTTTATCAATGTGATAACTTGTTACCAATGCGATAACTTTTTATCAATGTGATAACTTTTTATCAATGTGATAACTTATTATCAATGCGATAACTTTTTATCAATGTGATAACTTTTTATCAATGTGATAACTTATTACCAATGCGATAACTTTTTATCAATGTGATAACTTTTTATCAATGTGATAACTTTTTATCAATGCGATAACTTTTTATCAATGTGATAACTTATTACCAATGCGATAACTTTTTATCAATGTGATAACTTATTACCGATGCGATAACTTTTTATCAATGCGATAACTGTTTATCAATGTGATAACTTTTTATCAATGTGATAACTTGTTACCAATGCGATAACTTTTTATCAATGTGATAACTTTTTATCAATGTGATAACTTATTACCAATGCGATAACTTTTTATCAATGTGATAACTTTTTATCAATGCGATAACTTTTTATCAATGTGATAACTTATTACCAATGCGATAACTTTTTATCAATGTGATAACTTTTTATCAATGTGATAACTTTTTATCAATGCGATAACTTTTTATCAATGTGATAACTTATTACCAATGCGATAACTTTTTATCAATGTGATAGCTTATTACCGATGCGATAACTTTTTATCAATGCGATAACTGTTTATCAATGTGATAACTTTTTATCAATGTGATAACTTTTTATCAATGTGATAACTTTTTATCAATGCGATAACTTTTTATCAATGTGATAACTTATTACCAATGCGATAACTTTTTATCAATGTGATAACTTATTACCGATGCGATAACTTTTTATCAATGCGATAACTGTTTATCAATGTGATAACTTTTTATCAATGTGATAACTTGTTACCAATGCGATAACTTTTTATCAATGTGATAACTTTTTATCAATGTGATAACTTATTACCAATGCGATAACTTTTTATCAATGTGATAACTTTTTATCAATGCGATAACTTTTTATCAATGTGATAACTTATTACCAATGCGATAACTTTTTATCAATGTGATAACTTTTTATCAATGTGATAACTTTTTATCAATGCGATAACTTTTTATCAATGTGATAACTTATTACCAATGCGATAACTTTTTATCAATGTGATAGCTTATTACCGATGCGATAACTTTTTATCAATGCGATAACTGTTTATCAATGTGATAACTTTTTATCAATGTGATAACTTGTTACCAATGCGATAACTTTTTATCAATGTGATAACTTTTTATCAATGTGATAACTTATTACCAATGCGATAACTTTTTATCAATGCGATAACTTTTTATCAATGTGATAACTTATTACCAATGCGATAACTTTTTATCAATTTGATAACTTTTTATCAATGTGATAACTTTTTATCAATGCGATAACTTTTTATCAATGTGATAACTTATTACCAATGCGATAACTTTTTATCAATGTGATAACTTTTTATCAATGTTATAACTTGTTACCAATGCGATAACTTTTTATCAATGTGATAACTTTTTATCAATGTGATAACTTTTTATCAATGTGATAACTTTTTATCAATGTGATAACTTATTACCAATGCGATAACTTTTTATCAATGTGATAACTTTTTATCAATGTGATAACTTTTTATCAATGTGATAACTTATTACCAATGCGATAACTTTTTATCAATGTGATAACTTATTTTCAACTAAAACATCTTAAAAATAAACACAATCAGAAGCCAATTTTAAGCAAGTTAATTTTTATAATTTTTGTTTCTTTTAAAATTTATGATTTAGAATTTGCAAAACTTATCAACAGTATTATACATAAATATTTAAATTACTTTACATTGTTTATATTTATAATTTTTTATGTATCTATTGGATAATATATACTTATATTACCAATATTTTTTGTATCTATGATATTTTATGAATTATATGTTGGGTGTTTTCGTTTTAATTTTTTTTACCATAAGAAGCATATTTGGTTTGTGACTTAAACTAAAATTTATTATCTTTCTAATCTTATAACTTATAAAATAAAGTCTTTTTTTGTAATTTTAATTTCTTTCAATTTAAAAAAACTCGTAAGTAAATATAACTAGCGGTTCAATTTTTTTAAGAACCAAAAAAAACTATTTTATATTAAAAAAAAAAAAATGCGCAAAAGATAAACGTATTAGTAAAACTCAATCATGCATACTTATAAAGCCTTGTGTATATTTTCAATCGACAAACAAGTTCTACCTAAGGGTTAAAAAAATGATATATTAGGAAGTAAATAAAATGGAAAAATAAAGGTTTTTGAATTTTAAATCAGAACAAATAAACGTATAACCGATACATGAGTTCAACAATGCATTTTGTCACACATTTAATTTTTATTTTATCAATGCTTTTGCTTGTTTCTTCAGACTACTCGACTTTAGTATCGGAATATAAGAACAGTACATGTTATGAACCATATTGTGAAAAGGTAGCAAAAAGAATTTTAGACTCTTTAGACAAGACAGTAGACCCATGCGAAAATTTTTATCAATATGCCTGTGGAGGTTGGATAGAAAAACATCATATTCCTAAAAACAAAGAGGAATACTCTGCAATTGTAGAACTCTCAGAAGAAGTCGATAAAGCATTAAAGCAGATTCTGCCGAATATAACATCTGGTGATAGCGAGACAATAAAAAAAGTAAAAAACTTTTACAAGTCCTGTATTGACACAGCAAAGATAAATAGTTTAGGAGCAAAGCCTATTCAAAAATTTTTAAAAAAGATTGGATCTTGGAATGTTAACGCAGAGTGGGATGCCAATAAATGGAACTTCTTGGAGACTTTAAGGCAATTACATAGAGAGTATCCGGCGGAAATTTTTTTTACTGTAGATGTTGACGTGGATCCAAAAAACAGAACGCAAAATATTATAACGGTATAAAAATAATGAGCACTATATTATATTTTATATATTATAATAATACAAATGTGAAAATATAAAAGTCGAGGCAAGTGTTCAGCAGCCATTTACAATTTTTTAAAAAAAGTGCTCTAAAAAATAGCGATCTGACTGAAAACCATATAAACTGTTTAAAGTTCAAAGCTAAAAGAATTATTTGCAAAACGAGAATAAATTATTTTACATGTTGTAACTCACCTAAAGGTCTCTAGAGAATAATATATTCTTATATGTTGCAGTTGTATCATGAAACATATAGTTGCAAACGTATAGTAAAATCAGCTATTACAAGTCATTTATATTAATACCAGTTGTATAATGTTTAATTATCACACAAAATTAATTTTGTGTTAAAAATTTTGACTAACACTTTGCTGAACACAAACCCTCAGTTAACTCGTCCGGTTAAATAAAATAAAAAAATAAAAAAATAAAACGTAAATAAAATAAAACTATATTAAAACTGTAAGACATAGTGCAAATGGTTCCTTTGGCAACAGCAATTCATTGAAAATGTCGCAATTCTGATTCTTTATAACGTTAGAATTCGGTTTAATGCTTAAACATTCGAGTTCACTAACGTCGAAATATCAAACGAAATATTTTTTGATAAACTCTAAATAATTAGTGGCAATAGTTATAGTTTATGTTGATTTTTGCAAACATATTCATAATTACTAGTAAAATTTCTTTAAATTCACTATAAAACATTAATAAATATTTATTAAAACTAATAATGTTACAACCCTACTTTTTTAATTTGTCGCAAACAAATAATTAATTCGAATTCTGAACTTTCAAACTAAATCATTGTTTAATTTATAGAAAGTGCTGCTATTTTTTCCAAGAATCTCAAGCAAAAGCAAATTTGATTTCAAATAAAATTCGTTTTTGTCTTTATAAAAAATGTCTAATTAATAGCTAAAGAGAAAAATTACAATTAACATTTTTCTATAAACTTTTCTAATCCGTAAAAGATTATCACAACGATTTTTAAACATATAATGGTTTTTAAACTTAATTAGTGTTTAAGAATTTTTAAATGACTTTAGAAACATTAAATTTAACATTGTATAATTTATTTTATTGAAATTTACAAATATCAATTCGAATTTATAAACATCATAAGTTTTTAGATTGATCAGACAAGTACAGTAATATTTTTTAGTATAGTAATATTTTTTACTTTTGTATATTGTAGTTTAATATATTGTATTAATATTATATAATTATATAATTTTATATATTGTAGTAATATTTTTTACTTTTTTTCTTTAGATTGACCAGGCTAAACTTAGTTTACCTCAAATATCTTATTTTACAAATAGACCGGTATGTATATAAATAGACTGGTATATTATTTTACAAATAGACCGGTATATTTGGTTGTAAATATATATATATATTTTTTAATTTTATATTCAACCATATCAATAAAAATTTACAAATCTCATCATAAATTAATAGAATTCGGTTAGGTATATTTAGGTATATAGAAATACGGTTAAATAGACCGGTATGTATATTTAAATGTGAAAAAAAAAATCTTTTATAATGTACATTTTAAGCGTAAATAATTTTTGAAATCTATAATAATTTATTTGATAAATAATTGATATAAATTATAAAAAAGATTTTTTTTTTTTTTTAATTATAAAAATATCAGGCATTAGATGTACTTGTGGAATATGCCACAAGGATCGCTGCTTTGACAGAAGGATTGAAAGATCCAAAAGATGACGAAAATTTATATAGATCTATAAGAAAAAAAATGAGAAAAGTTGTTCTGTTTGAAATGAAGTTGGCAAAGGTATTTTTTTATGATTACTATTTTTTAAAGATTTTTTTATAACTAAAAGTAATAAAAGCTAAAAAAAAATACTTTTTTAATAATGTTACGTAATACTTGTAATATTTTTAATGGTGTAAAGTAATAATTTTAGATCTCTGTTCCTAAGCAAGCTAAAAGGTACGCCAGAACATCAATAGATCGATTGGAAAAAGCAATTCCAGAGGTATAATTTATAAATATGTTGAATGTTTTATTTAGTATAGAAAGTCTGAGTAAACATTTTGATTTGTATTAAGTTTTCAAACTAGGTTGAATTTACTTTAGTTTCCATGGTTGAAGCATCTCGAATCTGTTCTCACACCACGAACCATTACTCCAGATGACCATATAGTTGTTTTATCAAATGATTATTTAGCTGATTTAGTAAAGGAAATTAATGAAACTGAACCATCGTAAGTTACCATAGTAAAAAATGTATGATTTATAAAAAAAAAATTATATGGAAAATTAAATTTTTAAATATTCTTTTATAGTGTTTTGAGTAATTACATGGCATGGCGAATGGTAAAAGATATGGTTCCGTTTTTGAGCGAAGACTTTACAAATGCTTATAACAAATTTCGATCTGAACTTACCGGATCAACAATAATAAAATCACGTGAAGATATTTGTTATAAATACACTGATGAAATTTTAGGCCCTTTAATGGGTGCTTTGTTTATAAGAAACAAATTCTCCCCAGAAGATAAAAGCGAGGTTGAAGAAATGATGCATTTAATTATTAAAGCATTTGAAAGAAACGCCGAAACAGTGGATTGGATTTCACAACAAACAATCAAGTCAGTGAAAGAAAAGGTGAAGAAAAAAAACTTTTCTTTATTTTCATCTTAAAAAAAAAATAAATATGCAAATAGCTATTTTGTTAGAAACTTATTTAGCAGGTTATCGGCCGAGTTTTTCAAACCCTCTCTTACATTCACACAAAACTCTGTTTTTAAATACTGAATTTGTTTTGTAAATTTTTTAAAATATAATATTCATCGTATTAAGACACGCCTTTAACTATATTTAAAAAAATATTTTTTGGTCTCATAAGTCAGTGTAAAATTTAGGTTTTAGTTTTGTTTATTTTATTTTCTAAAATGTTTTATTGTTTTTTATTGCAATTTTTGCATTAACTTTTTGCTGTTAAATTATAGGCAGAGGCGGCAGTTATTAAAGTGGGATACCCAGACTACTTATATAACGAAACTCAATTCAAAAAAAGATACGAGGAGGTATTTTTTTTTTCTTTTTTTTTTATCTTTAATAATTCTTGTTCATTAAATTGTTTTACGATTCTACAAACCCATGTAGTTTTATTGTGGTTTTATTCTACTAACCTATTCAAATATAATGTTTAATTGTGGTTATATCAACTAGTAATGTAATCCAATGTTTTACTGTCGTTACAACAACTAATTATGCAATCCAATATTTTATTGTCGTTACAACAACTAATTATGCAATCCAATGTTTTATTGTCATTACAACAAATAAATAATGCAATCCAATGTTTAATATACCTAATAAAATAAACCTAATGTTTTATTGTTGTTACAACGACTAATGTGATTCAAGATATTTTCTAATTTATTCAGATAGAAAAATATTTCTGTTCTTATGTTACTTAAGTTTAAAAAATTGAAAAAATCGGTTACTTAGATACGCACTGTTAGTGATAAGGAAATGCGTTACTCTCACTTAAACACAATCTCAAGATCGCGTTACTTTCACTTTAACACATTTCAAAAGCGCGTTGTTTTCACTTAAACTGAGTCTAAAGAACGCATTACTGTAATTCGCGTAAATCCTATAAAATATTTTAAATATTTTTAGATTGAAATTCAACCAAATACATTTTTCGACAATGTAGCGAGTATCGATAAATTTTCAAATAGAAGAACATTTAAAAAACTTGACAACCCAGTTGATCCGCATCAGTAAGCATGTTTTTAATGTACTTCAATGTTTTTATTTTTTTATACATTACTGTTATTTGTTAATATTTCGAGTTTATAAAATAAAAAATAACATGATCAACGTTTAGGTGGGTGAGTGTTCCTCACATGGCAAATGCATTTTACGTAGTAACTAAAAATGAAATTGTAATTCCCGCTGGAATTCTCCAACCACCGTTTTTTTATGGAGAGCCTATACCAAGGTTTATTTATTTGTTTCAAAATTTTTATGGGGAGTGTAATTAATCTTTTTTTTTTTTTAATGCATATGGATGTCCTTACCTGTTGATAATATTGCACAAATGTTCAACAATTCTAATTTCTTTTAATAAACAAAATTAGAATTATCGAGCTAAAATTGGGGCAAAGTTAGCTAAACAATTCCAATTTTTGTTTTGACTTTGGCCAAAATTAGTGTACTGTTCGGGTATTCAACCTTATTTACTTTAATTATTCAATTGGATTTACTAGATCTATAAGTTATGGGGCTATTGGTCATGTGTTAGGACACGAACTTACTCATGGTTTTGATACATTAGGTAAGCAATATTAAAATTATAGTGAAAGTTAAATGTTTCTTATGAAAAAATGTTTATAAATGAGAAAATTCCTATAATATATATTTTGTTTTCTTGATTTTGAAGTTGAAAACTTCTTTGACTAAAACAAACGCTTATTCAACTTTATTTTTTACTTATTTTTTTTTTTTGTTCATATATGCTTTACTTAAAATTTCTATAATATATATTTTGTTTTCTTGATTTTGAAGTTGAAAACTTCTTTGACTAAAACAAACGCTTATTTAACTTTATTTTTTACTTAATTTTTTTTTTTTGTTCATATATGCTTTACTTAAAACCATTTTTTTACTTATTTAAAGGACGAAGATTTAACAAACAAGGTGAGCTCATACAAAAACGAACCAAATGGAGCGAGATGTCAATAAAAAAATTTGAAAATCGAACAAAGTGTTTACTCAAGCAGTTTAATAGATATAAAGTTGGTGACAAGTTGCATGTAAGTTCTTAGTGTTAAAATTTCATAAAATAAACTTTAACTTGATACATATAAAAATCTAAGTTTGATATATAAATCTAAAAAACTTGATAACTAATTAACTTGATAAATGAATTATAGATACAGTTTTATTTAAAAATTAGTAATTTAATTAATTCAATATATAAAATCTTAAATTTTTTTTTGTTTTAAGCTTTAACAATAATTTAAAAAATAAATACAATAAAGGGTTGCCGATACCTGGGGGTTATAATATAAATTATAAGTAGATGTATACTTTTTTATTTGTGCATCATTCACACTTTGAACAATGTGTTGTTTTTCTTAAAAGAATTATTCATAAATAATTGTTTTTCATATTCTTCATTCCCATCATTCATTATTTCTTATTGTTACCATTATTCACTATTTCCTATCATTTATGTCACAAACATTTTTATTGATGCGAGAATATTTTATTTACGTCACTAACAATTTTATTAGAATATTTTGTTTGATGTCAAGACTTATTGATTACGATGAAAAACGAAAATAATTTAGATTGACGGTAAAAACACACTAGGAGAAAACATTGCTGATGGTGGTGGTGTTAAAATGGCGTACATGGTAAGTGCTTTGAACAGTTAAGTTTATTGTTTTTTAATAAAGCTTTATACTAATAAAAAACAATATAAAATAAGTTTTGTTTAAATAGTTATAAGCTTATAAAAAGTTTATAAATAAAATTACAGGCTTATAAAACTTGGGTCGAAGAACACGGAGAAGAGTATGTCCTCCCTTATTTAAACAAAACAAATATGCAACTTTTTTTCATTGGATATGCTCAGGTAAAACTTTATTTTGATGCTTTGTTGGTATCAGGATTTTAAGGTTTTATTTCTTTTTGATTTTGAAGGTTTTAAAATATTTTTGTTAAAGTGGCAGACATTTTTGCTATTGTTGTTGAAATTTTTTTTATTTAAAATAACTTTAGAAAGAGTGTCACCGTTCAACAGCAAAAGCAATAGAAGATGCAATCAAAGATGATGTTCATGCCCCTTCTATGTTTAGGTAAGGGTTATAAAGTTTAAAATTAATTTAACACCTGAAATAAATCTTTTGTCATAAAATTATTATTCTAAATAATAGGATTATTGGAACATTGAGTAACTCAGAACATTTTGCAAAAGCTTTTAATTGTAAAGCAAATGCTACAATGAATCCAGCCGAAAAATGTGAAGTATGGTAGTGTTTATGCGGAAGTAGGAAAGTATCTGTTTTCAAGTATACATTATCAAGCATGTGTGCTTGTAGAATCGATAAACAGATTTAATAATAAATTTAGCGCTACTTTCTGGTTAAAAAACAGAATAAACAAAATAAGCATGATACTCAAAACACAAAAATACCGAACCAAAAATACCGTTTTTATGTTAACGTTTTCATGTCATTAAATTTTTTTATTTTTTTTAATCAAAGAAATTTCAATATACTTCAAGACTTCTACTTGTTAATATAACCTGAATTTTTAATAGATTTTAATTCATGAAAAGTTTAATTTAATACGAATTAAATTTAGTGTGATAATCGCACTTCATCATAAGATTTAATCTGTAAAATATATTACCATAAAAAATAATCATTATTAATACTATTTTTCTCGAGTTTTTATTTAAATTTTTTATGTTTTAAGTTTTAGTTTTTATTATAATAGTTTTTATTTATACATAACTATATTTGATTTTTTTAAATAGATTTTTCTAATATTTAAACACAATTTTTTTTATCGTTGTGTAGTGTCGTCAGTTTGATGTTATTTAGGGGTAATCGTTTTTTAAATTATTCAATTAACGAATAATTATTTGAAAACTAATTAATTAATTGATTAATTCTGATTTAATTTTTATTATTTAATAATAATTTAATTTTTTCTTTCTATTGGATATAATCTTAAAAAAAAAAGTAAATTATTAAAAGTGTCATCGTTTAAGTTCAAAAGTTATAACACAACAGTTGCACTAAAACTACTTTCTGCTTCAACGATTAAAAGATTTGATTTAGTAGAAAATGAAAAGACTATTGTAATCTTTTCAAAAGGAAATTTTTTTTTAAATTACTTTTAAGTACTGCCGTTTCGCATTTAATAAAACTCAATATATCTTGATGTGATAACTTACAGATACTTTCACTTTCACTTTCTGTTTCTGAAGTTTTAAGAAATTATTAAGCTTAAGTTTTTTTTTTTCTGTTCCGCATTTTATTATGGATTCGAAATCAGACTCTGTGCTTCTTTTTCTAGTAGAGTTTTTAATAGATTATCTTAGTGTTATCCTAGAGTTATCCTTGTGTTAAAGTTGTGTTAAAACAAACTTACAAAGATTCCTATCGCTGTTTTAGCAATTTTACTTTTATTTGGGCATTTTAAATGATTATATAGCATTTCTTAATCTAATTTAAGTTATTTGGGTTATGTAAATAGCATAGTAAACTTTATATATTTCCTTCTTTCAATAATGTCCTCAGAGACTTTGATTTCTAAAATTTTGTCGTAAAAATAAAATAAATTTATCAAATTTTATTTGATCTCACTCTTTTTTTCCCAGTGCCATAACATTTAACTAAAACAACATAAAGAGCATGAACAATATCAGAGATGTGTTTTATTTCTTCTTCTTTTAAAACTAAATCTGTTTTGGTTAAATCAACAAATAAGCTTTTTCGATAAAAATTTTTAACTCCAATAATTCTTTAACAAACTTTTGACTAATTCTAAAACTTCATCTTATTTTAGTATCCAAGCTAAATTAAAATTCAAGCCCAATTCACTTAACTTGTCTATAAAAAATTAACTACTCTTTGTGAAGTCATTTAACCAATTATTTTAATCATTCCAAGACCATGTAGATATATTTTCTAGCTCCTCAAAATGATATACCTTCTAGCTCCTCAAAATGATGTACCTTCTAGCTCCTCAAAATGATGTACCTTCTAATTTCGCAAAAAGTCTGCTAATCAAGAGAAATAATAAACTTTTCTCCGTTTAATTTTTTTTCTGGAGTTCTTGAGCAACTTTTAACTTGATTGAGAGTGCGGAGTTCATATAAGTTATTTTTAACGGGTGTCGATCGGCAGGAGTATTAAGCCCTTAGGCTTTCTAGGCTTTTTTAATAACATTACTATTGGTAAAAACATTTAATAACATTACTATTGGTAAAAATGTAGATATGATCAGCAGTTGTTACGCTGAAACATTTTTGATTTCCTATTTTACTACAGTAAACAGCAATACTCGGCTGTATATTTTCTGGCTCTGAAACATTTTTATCACTTGACAGCTTCTGGTTTATCCAAAACTATTTTTTAACAGCTTTTGGCTTTGTCAAAACCGTTTTTTAATAACGTTTGGGTATTAGAATTTTTAGTGTAGTCAAAAACGTAGTTCTTTAACATTTGAAAAAATAACTCAGGCTGGTGAATATTTTAAAGCTATTTTTGGTTGAATTTGATGTCGTATATAGTATGTATATCAATATCTATATAAATTGGCTGATCCGAAATTTAAACAAGCCTCTCTTTGTTACGATAGATATTTGAAAATAAAAGTGTGTTTAAACTATCTGATCATACGTGAAGATAAGCGTAAGTTAATGCGTTTAACAAACGAGTTTTAACAGGAGTTTGATCAGATTTATTTGCATATTGATCGGAGTAATGAAAAAGTTTAATGCTCAGAATATTTCACTGTAACTGTAGATTAGATAGGTTGTATTTATTAGAACAAATAATATATATTCTAAAGGACACGCAGGTCCCTATTGTTGGACACTAACACTGTGCCCCTATATAAATTGTCTAAATGCGTACGACATCGAGTAAATAATTTATATAAAAATAAACAATGGAGCCAACGATGTCATAACTTTTCAAAATTGATTAATTTAACTTTTTAAGATGTAGATATGATCAGCATTAACAACATCAACTGATTCCAAATGTTAACAATTTGGTAAGAGAAACTATACTTACAAATATCTTTTCAACATCGTTGTTTGCGCATTTCATATTTATGTCTTCTAGTGTTGCTTTTGTAAAATAATAAATAGATAAAAATAAAATATAACATAAATTTATCAATTAAACCAAGTTATGCAGAATTTTGAAGCGAAGCAATAAATCATGTTTGAATCGCATTATCTCAAGCAACTCAGTTTAGATCAATGTGAAAAAGCAATTAAATCTTTTTACTACAATAGAATAGCCTAATGTCATTAAACTAATGCTCAGTGCTCATTTCAAGCAAAAGAATTTATAGTAAAAAGTTGTCAAGTCCAAGAATATGTAGCCCATATTCTTTGAATTCTAAGAATTAACAAAAGCTAATAATCATTTAACTCAACCATCAACGGATCTTACAAACCATGTTTTAATAACCATCAACGGATCTTACAAACCATGTTTTAATAACCATCAACGGATCTTACAAACCATGTTTTAAACAACATAGACATGTAAACAATGTTTGAACTAAAAAATTAAACAATCAGTTAAACTAAGAACGAATTTTATTTTGTATTAAGTCCATTTTTTGCAGTATAGAGTTCTTTATACCACTATTTTGTATTTAAAATTCTCTTTTGTTTGATATACCACACAAATTTAATAAATCAATTATTAACGAGTAATTAAGATTATTTATTTCAACTATTACACAAAAAATTATTATTTTAACTATTACGCAAAAAAGGTTAAAAAAAGGTTTAGAAAGATCTAAAAAAGGTTTTCATGATTTTGTCAAACTGCGGACAACTTAATTGTAATTAATTTTAATTTAAGGTGATCTTCGCCCAAATACAAAGACGATTTTTCTATCTTCAACTTCGAGAAAACTCGCTGACACTTGACTAGTGTGCAAAGTATACATAATGACATTTTATATGCAATATACATAATAGAATATGCATAACAATGTAAATTGTAGCGATGGAGAAAACAAACAACGCAACTCCAACATCTGTTGCAATCTTTTTTGGAGGAACATTTCTCTGATTCAGTGACATCAGACTTACTAATTAATGGAAAATTAGTTACAAATGATGTCATCTCTGCGAAGTCATCACAGTATTTTCCTCTGTATACCATCAAGATTAGTAAATCGTGAAAAATATAGTCATCTATATGGTCACACAAGGATGAAAAGTTTTGAGGTTCCAGACAAACAATATTCCTTAAGATAAAAACATCATTTCATTTAAAAACGGCCTTTGATTATGGCAGTATCCACAATAACATAGAACACATTAACCTTAACCCGCCTTACTAGGTCCTGAAGTTCTCGCATCATCGCTGGAGTCAACTTGAATTCCAAACTTTCCAAACTCTTAAACTTCTTTAACAATAGATTTCTTGATAAGTTCTTCAATAACAATAATGATTCTGTTAACTGTTGTCTTGCTCAAAAAATAATCAATGAACCCCAACCTTTCATGCATATTTTAATTCTGCTATTTGTGCTAAGTTCTTCTAGACGAGTTTTTAAGATCACCAAATAAGATCTATATTTGCTAAGTAACATCACAAGTACCAGAAAATTTAAGCACTTTATCTCAGGAGCTTTGTGCACATTATCATCCATATTCCAAGCTCATTCAAGTTTAAAAATAATAAGGAATGCCTTGCTTTCCAATTTACAAAGTGGTCTCAACTACTCTGTTTAAAAGAAGGTGTTCTTGCTCCAATTCACTTTGTCTTTTACTGTTAAACAGGTGATCAATTATTTTCTTATTCTCAGCTGCGAAGTGGAATATGATTTCTTTAGACATGTTCACTGTTAGGCTTATCTCTGTTGTATACACGTTTTTTATTAAAGTCCAACGCATTTGGTGGCTGTATCGGGTGCAATGAAACATTTACTTATTTGTGTCAATTCAAATAAAGATTGTATTAACTTAAATTATAATGTATTAAGAATAAATTTTGCACATAGACAGTTAAAAAAAAGCGTGAACATGCTAAATCTATAACGAAAGATATGAAAATGATGGATGTTTTTGAAAAAAGTATCTATCATCATTTAATTTTTTATTTATTTACATTTTTGCCGATAAAAAAAAAATTTACAGTCGTAACTTATAAAAAAAAATAATTTCATGACCGGGGGTAGAAGAAGACAAATTTAGTCTTATCATTAAGCAATAAAATTTTTATGCATTGATTTAACAATAGATTTCTCTCCTAAAAACTTTAATAGCAAATTTGAAATAAATAAAAATGAAAACTATTATCTAAGAGTAAATATAAGTATCACATATAAACTGCCTCAAAACTTGAATAAATATAATAAATATAGCATTGCATATCGAGGACCAAATGTATGGAATATTTATCAAAAATGATTCAAATGTATTGCAAACTCATTAAGTTCATTTAATTTTTATTTAAATTTGAGATTTATTTGTGCTTGGGTAAGTCTAAAGTTATTTGATTTACTGATTAGCGCATCAGTTTTTTACCCGTTTGGGTATTTAGATCAATATCTATATTCTATTGGAAAAATATTTAGGGACTCTATGTAAAATTTGAGAATATTTTCAAATTCATCTTCTTTAAGTTTCTCTTTTTTTTTTTTTTTTAAAAAAAGAGAAACTTCTTTAGATAAGCCCATTAAAGCCGAACTTTTTTTTTTAATTTTATTTTAGGTGCTCTAAGAAGTCCTTACGGTCTTATCACAGAGCACCGCGGATGAGCATTTAATAGGAAGTTCACGCCTCCTTCCCAACCGATGTCACTAAACTTACCCAGAGGTGAAGTTTGAACTACGGATTCTTTGTTTCTGAGACAAGTGCGCTACCGCTGCGCTACGGCTGCTCACGACTTTAGATAAAAACTCTAATTGTATTTTACTATTTATTTTTTATAAATATAATATGTTTTTTTATTTATACAAAAAACTGAAATATAATGTTTACTTAGAAATAATAATATTTTATACAACAAAATCTCCAGCCCCAATAAGTATTGCAGAATTTCTCTGGTTGGGAAGCACTGGCTTACTATAAGCCAATCAGGGTCGTTCCGAGGGGTGGGGTGGGGTGGGGGGTAAGGGTGTCTCCTCAATGAATTTTATCAGCAAATGGGAACTGGATTCGGCAAAATTGGATCTCTTTTTATTATATATATATATTTCCTCGCTATGAGTAATTACAATACCAAAGAACATGAATAAAAATAAAATATGACCGGGGCAAAAAGAAGACTGTAGTTGTTTTATCGCTAAGCCCCGTAATAAATACACCGAAAGTTACAATACTTATAAAAACCGTAATAATCTAAGTTACATATCTTTTAAATTTTTTTTTATCGTTAAAGCTTACTAAAAATATATTTTAAATAGGCAATAAAATAACAAACCAAAAAAAAAGATCAGCAAAAAAGAAGAAAAAATAAACAAAAAGACAAAACAAAACAAATAAAATAAACAAAACAAAAAGCCAGTAATACTATTTATGCCAAAAAGCCAGTAATACTATTTACATCATATTTATGGATCTGAATAAATAATCTTAGTAATAAACAATTATTAAAACTAAATTGTTAAACATAATTGTTTTGCTGAAAATTATTAATAATAGTACTCTCATTTAAACGCTTTAGAAGAAATTTAGCTCATTGTCGTTTAGTAAAAGATTTTTCTTAAGTTTAGTTTTAAATTGATTAAGTGAAGAAAGTCTTTTAAGATTATTATTTAAAAGTGTATTCCATAATTTAGGACCTTGGTTTGTTATTGAGTATTTGGTGGCAGAATAATAGGTTTTGGATTGAGTATAGTTATTATTTGAAAATCTTGTGTTGTAGATATGATTTATTTTTTTAAATAAAGAGTTGAATAAAAGTGGTGCCATATTTTATATCAAGTTTAAACATAAATATACGAATATGATAGAGATTTAATTTATAAACATTTAGAATATTAAGTTTGCTAAAAAGTAATTTTGTATGAGAGAAGCGATTTTATTTTGTAATAATCCTAATGGCATGTTTTTGTTTGCAGAGAATTTTTACTTAGTTTTGTAACATTGGTGCTGCACCAAGCAATGTTAGCATAGTTTAGGTAACAGTGTATAAATGAATAGTATATGTATTTAAGACAAGATTGGTTTAAAAACTGCTTTTTAAAGCAGTTTTTAAACCAGTTTTTAATTTTATTCTCAATTACACTTATATGTTCTCTCTACGTAATATTTCCATCGAGAACTATGCCTAAAAATTTTAGAGACATTTCTCTTTTTATTATATTTTTATCAATAAAAAGATTTAAAAGTTTCAATGGAATATATTCTTTTTTATGAATACGATGCGTATTTAGTTTTAGCAATGTTTAAGGATAATTTATTGGATTGAAACCATTGGGTTAGTTTATCAAGTTCGTTGTTAACTGTTAAGAATAAAATATTAATGTCTTCATGAGAATAAAATAAATTAGTGTCATCGGCGAATAAAATTGCGTTTAAAAAATTAGAAAATTTTTACAAGTCATTGACATAAATTAAAAACAAAAGGGGCCCTAGAATTGATTCCTGGGGAAACACCGCAAGTGTTGATCATATTATCTGTTTTACCACCATCGTAAGAAATATATTGCATCCTATTAGACAAGTAACTATTAAACCAAGCCAAGTTTGAATTTTTGATGCCATAAAACTCGAGTTTGGACAAAAGAATAAAATGATCGACTGTATCAAAGGCTTTACTTAGATCTATGAAAACACCTTAAGTAATTTTTTTTTCATTAAACCCATGGACAAGATGTAAGATCTCTATAGTAGGCAGTCGGCAAATGTCGGAAAACGAGGACCTTTTATTTATTTATTTTTGAGCTTAGTTAGTAGGCAAAAAAGTATTTTTATTTTAGCTTTAGTCGGCAAAAAAACAGACACTTTATTCCCCCTTCCTTTAAAATTTCTTCGGGACGTCCCTATAGCCAGTGCTTCCCCATTGGGAAGCACTGACATTGACAGCTTTTAATAACTTAGTTTTTTTTTTTTTTTTTTTTGACAAAATTAGTTCTAAATTATTTCTTTATTGGTGTTAAATATTTGTTCCTGAAACTGTTTATAATAGATAATAAACTTTAATATAAATTTTCTTTTATGTGCCTTAATGCTACATGTTGCTTATTTCTAGCACTAAATCAATCGAAGTTATGTAGCAGATCACTAAACCAATCGAAGTTGTGTAGCAGATGCTATTATGACCAATTAAAAAAAAAAAAAAGAATTTAAGGATTTTAGAGTTAATTTCAATCCTATAAGAAGTTTTTTGTACAAACTACTTATTATAATCTACTTTCTTTATAGCCTCTATCTAAGATATTATAATTTTTTGTCGGGCGTCAGCTAGTTTTTTTTTTTTTTTTTTTTTTTAAGCAGTATCGTTGTCAGTAAAAGTCTTTTGCAGTATTTGTAACCTAATCAAAATACAAATAAAAAGAATACACCAAGTTTGTTTACGCTGCTTTGTTTACAAATAATTGCCTCATTTATCAAAGACAGTTCAAATAAGACATGTCAAAATAGCACTGCCATGTTGTATGGCTGTCACTGACAGAGTTCGTAATTATTGCTATAATCAAATAAAAATCCATTATTTTTTAACAATTAAAAAAAGAGTGCTAATTTGTCAGTTTGTTTAACTTAACTTTAAGACCCAGTTACGTTTCTGCATGCTTTTAACTTTAAAATCAATAAAACTTGTAGATGATTTTAATATTTTTTACACCACATTTTATAAAAATCATTAAAACTATCTTTTCAACTAAACTATTTGCAATGTTTTCGCGTTTTTAAATGTATGTAGGGTAGATTGAGGTAATACGAAGCTTAGGTACTTAATGAGTACCGAGATATTTCTTATAAATAAGATAGATATTTCTTTTAAACAAGACTCTAGATACATTGTGTTTTTGGAATCGCATTTGTATGATAGTATAAGAAATTAGAAAAAAAAAAGATTAAGGAATGCAAGAAATAATCAGTGGCTACTATCTAGTTAAACCATGATATTTTTGGTTATTAAGAGCATGCACAAGTAATTATAGAGCGCGATTTTTATAAATAGTATTGTGACAAATTCTGTTCCACAAACATGTCTTCTTAGGCCCGTAGGAACAAAAATTATATTGGGAGGGGAGTGTTGACATTTTTTCTCAAAAAAAAAATAAATATATATATATACTCCTGGGCCTCGATCTGCCACTGGAGGGGGGGGGGGGGGGGGGGGGGGAGGAGGAGGGGAGAGAATACTACTGGGTAGGTCAAATAGTAATAGGTCACAAATTTTTGTAAAAGGAAAACTTACGCCGAAAATACGGATAACAAATTAGGTCTTTTTTTATCTTTTTTTTCTTTTACCTCTTAATTTGTAATCGTTTCCTTTTTCTAAAAACTAACTTCAAAATTTTTTATTTGAAAAATTATTGGGGGAGGGGGATAAATACCCCTGCTGACTACCCGGTTGCTACGTGCCTGCCTTCAACAATCGCTAAAGATAACACAACATTTATAAATATCTTGCAAGAATTATTTATATATATTATTTTTTAATTCGGTATAAATAAAAAATCATCTTTTAAAAATAAAAATGAATAGTAATTTTTAAAAAACATTTTTTTTTAGTATAATATTTAACATTATATAACACATTACATACCCATCACAAATATTTCAGTCAATTAAATATCAACCTCAGCCTCAGCCCTAAATTATTTAGCAACCTCAGTCTCAGCGCTTTTTTTTTTTTACAAAAAATAGGAAGTAGAGTACTAAATCCACTTCGTAAAATCAAAACATCTTTTAAAGTATTTTTTATTACTTTATAAAAATAATTCAAATATACTAAAGATTTAAAAATATTTCAATTCAATTATATTTGTTATAGTATGTTGATCTACAGCTTTTCAGCTAAAAAATTTACAATAAAGCTTTTACTACGGCATTGACATTTAAGTTACGCAAATCTGTGTAGGTTTGGCCAGTACCGACAAATACTATAGGCTGTCCAGTTTCATAAGTCATTGAAATGGAAGCACCAACCTAAACAAAATTACAAAAATATTTAAACAAAAAAAAGGAAATGAAATAACATTGGCCACAGCTTTGATTTTAGTACAATCTTTTGTTTTTAGTATAAAACAAATACAAAATTTATTAATGGGCAAACATCAAGCACCAACGAACAGTGTTGGAAATGTAATTTTGTTTAACTTCGTGAACAAAGTTTAATAAATATTCGTTTTCGAACTAAAATTGCACTCAACCGAATACTTCATTTAAATTCGTTGAGCTGAAGTTTAAGCGACGCTTCTTGCACTAAGGTCTCTGAAATTTAATAAATATTACTAAATAGTAATATTAGTGTAATAACTTTTAAAAAATAAAAAAGAAACTAAATTCAGATAATAACATTTTTACAACGTTTACTTCAAAATGTAAATTAAAATTACTTTTAAAATGAAGAAAGTAATTTTTATATTTTTCAAGTCATTTTTAAAAATTTTGGTAATATGTTGTAGTGTTTTTGAGCAACGTAGATTTGCTTTTTTATTATTATGATTTTCAATTTTTAAGGTTCAGTTCAACGATTATAATAAGAATGTGTTATGCTTTAAAAAGTAGAATAAAAATCACAAATATCATTCTGCTAGAGTCTCATTTTATTATATTTTATTACAAAAGATTACTAAAGTTAATTACAAAAGTAAAGCAATATCATATCTGATGCATCTTACAGATGCAAAAGCATTTTTAATTCTCAATTAAACTTTAGCTATTAATCACACACACACACACACACACACACACACACACACACACACACACACACACACACACACACACACACACACATTGTTTGCTTGATCTTTTTTAAAAAATAATGTTTATTTTGAAGAATAATGTGTTTAAATAATTTCTTTTATAAAAACAAATATGATTAAAAAAAATACTTAAAATAAAAAGCAACTGTTTCATTTATTCATTCGTCTAAGAGGCTTAAAAATTACATTATGGTGAAGCTTTTTTAAATTTAATATAGTTCTTCTTTAACATATGTATTAAGTTAATTTGGTTTTTTAAAAAAACCTTAGTTACTGTTACTTTCAGATATAAAACTATTGCATAAAAGTGTACCTTGTCATCAATTGTATCAAACTTAGTCAAAACAATTCCATCAATAAGATGAGGATTGTTTACATCTGAATGATCTGCCAAAGCCTGATTGAACTTCCTTAACTGATCAACACCATCATTTCCCACAAGCGCTTCACCAACAAACAGCACAAGATTGGGTTCATTAATTTTAATTAACTAAAACATTTGAAGGATTTAAAAAAACCAAAAAACATTTTAAATTAACACCAATACTCAACGCTGTTAAAAGTCCATGAGCTTACTAAATTTATTTAATTTCATGATAACATGTACATGCTTATGTAAGTAATGAATACTGTTAAAAGCAAATCCATGAACTTACTAAATTTATTTAATTTCATGGTAACATGTACATGCTTATGTAAGTAATGAACTACTGTTTAAACATTTAATATTGTCCATTATTTAATAGTTATAAATGTAGTTACATTTGTACACTTATAAATGTAGTTACATATATTGATTGTATATTAAATTATTTATAAATTTATCTTTTTAAAATTTTGCTATTAAAAACCAATATAGAGACAAACCTTTGCCAGCGATCTCATTAATGGTTCATTATCTTGCATACGGCCTGCCGTATCCACAAGAACTACATCACATTTAAGATCCTTAGCTAACAAAAAAATGTTTAAAAAATAAGTTATTAAAAAACATATAACAAAAAAGCATATAACAAAAAAATGTTTAAAAAATAAGTTATTAAAAAACATCTACAAAAAAACAAGTTATTAAAAAACATATAACAAAAAGTAAGATTTAATTTATGTAACTTTAAAAAAGTAAATTTGAAAAAATTTAGTTCTTGAATCATACACAATCTTTTGCATCAAACCTGAACAACTTTAAAAATTAATTTGTAAAAAATTAATTTTATTTAAGGTTTAAATACAAATATCCAATCAATTAGTTCACTATGCAGGAAATATCATAACATTACATCATAACTTCACTGTGAATATTTATTCAAATTCTCCAGTATTTGCAAAGTCTTATCAGTGATATATATATATATATATATATATATATATATATATATATATATATATATATATATATATATATATATATATATATATATTTATATAGCTTCCTGCATTGCAGTTTGAGCTTTTAAACACAACTTAGCAAACAATAAAGGGAAACCCAAAAGAATATACGCCTATGTGAATATTAAACGCGCCATCAGTACCAAATAACTTCTATGTGCTCACCAATGCCTGCCAACGCCCGATAAATATATGTAATTTTAGCCGCAAAGCATTGTGGGATGTCTTGCGGGACCAAGTAATCATAAACAACACAACTCTTAGTGAAATATTTTTACTTTTGCGTTATTCTTACCAGAGGGCTTCCCATTAAAAAACTTTTCTTTTATAAATTAAAATAATTTTAAAACTATTTCATAACATTGCTTATATAACATTTATATATCATCTAACATTAATATGTTGACGCAGTTGTAAATTTGATGTAAATTTAGCATGTTTTGCATAAGTCATTTTAATCATGTTATCACTGTAATCATTTCATATTATTTTAAATAAATACTCCATATTAGTTTAAATATATACCCCTTAACTAGATGCTAAATATAGAGTTAATAATGCTGAGAGAAAAAACAACAATAATAAATAAGAAATATATTGTTTCAAGAATTATCATTAAAATAAAATTAAGCATGGATAATGCGAGCTAACTTGTTTTTACATGTCTTGTTTCGTGGTACAAGATCATGATTATAAAACCTTATATAATAAGATATTCTCATATAAACATAGTGTCTGATTAAACTTTCTTCTAAATAAAAAGCATGATCAATATGTTCATCATAAAGAAATGTAAAATTGCAATCGTTTTTTATTACTTTAATAATTTGTTGTATAATATTTTTTTTAGTTAATATAAGTTTCATTTGGGTTATAAAAACAGTTTCCATTTCGTGAAGTAGGTTTTGTAAAAAAGAATCAGAATTAAATAAGTTACTTTCACAGGGTGCCACACTTGAAAGAACTTGTACACATTTTTGACAACCTTGAACTTTCTTTATCAAATCATCTGCAATTAATTTCAAAACCTGTTTAATTGACTGTGAAGCTGAGTCAGTCGAAACAGTTTGTAATGTAAAAGGCTTTTGTTTCTTTTTAAATAATGCAGTTGGATGTTTGAAAATCAATTGTTCATTTGCAGAAATTTGATTATCAAATATTATATTGGTGATTGAGTCAATGGTAACTGCAGCTGAGAAATCTGATTCAGGGAGACAATTATTGTTAGAGTTAGATTGTTCTATTGAAAGGAGTACTAAGACATTTTTATATGCTGATTTAAACTGCATTGGTGTTGGTCTGTCATTCCAGCCTCCTTTGCTTCGTATTAATGCAAAAAAATTTGTGTTGCCAATTTTACTCGCATAGCTAATAGTGATCCTGGATCTAAACGACGATCTGTCAACTTTGGCACTAGTCGCACAGCATTAACTTTGTCTAAATTATAAAGTTCTTCCAGATGCTTCCACAATATTATTTTACCATCAGGTAAAATGTCATGTTTTATTAAATTATTTCTAACATTTTTTATAAGATGTGGTGGATCAAATATTATATAAACTTTTGCTTGTGTAGTTGGATGTGAAATTTGTTGATTTAATAGTGAAAATCCTAAAAATTTGAGAGCTCTTATATTACTCGAGCTTTGATCACAAACAAGACATCTTACAGCTAAACCTATTTTATGTAGATGAATCATGGCATTATTTACTATCTTAGCTAAATTGGTTGAACACATAGTAGTATTACTGTAAAAATATGCAATTGGTTGTTTCCATTTTGTTGATAATCCACGGACCATCAATACAAATACTTGGTTTACTGGTTTGCCAGTAGATTGAATCCCAATGATCTTATCATTGTTTTTTTCGCAATCAAGATGTTGCTTTAAAGACATTTCATCAAAAACAAGGCTACAGTTTCATTCCAATTTTTTCATGGTATTTACTCGCATTTTTAGTAAAACAATAACCTTATTGGAAAAACCAGATTCAAGGGTCCCAAAAGATTTTTCAAGAAACATTAAAATAGTGCTTCTAGAAGGTAACGAAAAACCTTTTCTAAACATTTTGAAAGCTTGTGGACTGCGATACATGATTCTTAAAGCTAAAATTTTATCTTCAATAGTCCAACAATTTCCCTGTTTGATACGGTTATTCATACGTAATTGACTTTAAAAAAATTGAAGTTGAGTATTTGTTAAATATTTTTTAGACAAATTAATAATATGTTCTATTGAACCATCACATTTTTTTAACATATCATGCTTTATCTTCAGGTTTTTATGTTTTTTTTCGACAAAGTCGACAAATCTTAACTTGAGATGATAAATATTTATTTTTAAAAGTAGTTTTGACAGTTACATTATTTGTACTGCTATTCTCAACATTATTAATTTTATTTAATTGGACTTTATCGTTGATTTCTTTTTTTTTGTATTTTATCTTGTAAATGAAGTCTGTTTGTAGGCTGTTTTCTCTTTAAATTTAAGGTAGAAGGTTGATTTGGAAAGTTAAAAACTGTTGGTACAGCAGTTACAAGTGCTCTTTTACTACCATTATTGGCAAGATAGTATTGGGAAGAATCAAAATGTTCACTACAAATAGTATAGTTAAGATTAAGTTCTTCACATGATTTTGTATCGAGATCTTGACGACGACAATTACGAACCCAAAGCTTGCATCTAAATAATAGGTTAAACCTAATTAATTTAGTGGAATTAATTAAATCATATTATGTATAAATATTTTTTGTTTCATAAAATTTAAAGTAAAACAATGTTTTAAAAGTTTCTTTAAATTCTTGATATACTAGTTATTTAATAAACTTGATTTGACTAATAATTACTTACCTATAATTACCTATTTTTATCTTTTGGAAATCTAAAAAAAGATATATTATTTCCAACATTCTTTCCACGCTTGTTTACACAACTGATGGCTGAGCAAAAGGCTGTCATATTTAATATTGTATTTATAGAAAAAGCAACTTAATTTTTGAAAAGCGAAATCTAATAATATTATAATATATAATATATATTTAGCAGACAACAAAGATGTATAGTAAATTTATGTTGTTTATAATATGGTCCCGCAAGACATCCCATAATTCAATGTACGGGCAATTACACATGAATATATGGATTTTTAGTCGAGTTGGCAGGATTTGGTGCTCACCCTCCATGAGCACATAGAAGTTATTTGGCTGAAAAGCATGGCTTTTGGCAAACGTGACACCATTGTTCAAAAAAGGCTCCAGACTCGACCCAGAAAACTACAGGCCTATATCCATCACCTATGTACTATGCAAAATAATGGAAAAAATGGTTAAAGAAAAGATCATGCAACACCTTGCATGATCTTTTCTTTAACCATAAACTTATTGTCAACATAGCTTAATTGTCAACAGGGCTTCATCAATAAAAAAACTAAAAAAGTTACAAATCTGCTTGAGGCCATGGAATTTTAACTATAGCATTATTTGCAAGCTTCCATTAGACATGCTTTTTCTTGACTTAACAAAAGCCTTCAATAAAGTCCCCCACAGAAGATTACTGTAAGACTTGAATCAAAGGTAACATTCTGAACTAGATAAATATTTTCCTTTTAAAGTTGATCACAACGTGTTATTCTAGGTACATACATATACATTATCCACCTGGGTAAAAGTTACTAGTAACATTTTGCAAGGATCAGTGCTAGGCCCTATGCTGTTCATAATATTTATAAAAGACTTACCAAAATACATCAGTAGCAAAAACTTATGTAAAATGTATGCATACAATACTAAAACCCTAAGTGTTGTCAAAATTGCTGAAGACAAAGCATACCTGCAATCTGATACAGACTGTGTTGTCACCTGGACTCGAATCTTGTTGATGGAACTTAACATTAGGAAGTGTAAGGTTGCATTTAAGCAAATACAATGCTTCCCAACACACTTATTTGATGAATGAGCATGATGCTAATGGCAGCATCATTAGAACAGAACTCGAGTTTTCAACATCCGAAATGACCTAGACGTTCAAATTTCCAATGACTTAAAACATGTGAGGCAAGCAAAAACAGCCACAGCCAAGGCCAACAAATGTTTGGAATCTTGAAAAACACATTAATTAGCAGACACCAAAATATGGAAAAACTTTACAACCTCATACAAAATACAAAATCGAAAACAATAATGACTCAGTTAGCTAGCATATTGATCCACCCAACATCCCACAAAGCTACAATCACCGCAAGCGATTTCATCATGTAATGGGCATCAACTGCCTCATTCGCTATAATTTCTTCAATAACCACATCACTCACCTTTGGAACGCACTAGTAAATAAAATTGTCAGTGCTATCAGTGTCAACAGCTTTAAAGCAAACTCGATCAGCTACCATAATTACTACAGCGCATCATCTTTTGTGCTAGCAGGGCTAGCAGTTGATGGGTTTACGGAATATGCCTTGTCCATGTAATTTAACTTAACCATATAAATATATATATACATATACATACATACATATATATATATATATACATATATATATATATATATATATATATATATATATATATA